GACGGGGCTCAGTGTTGAAACTGGGGGATGTTTTCTGAGAAGCAGCTTCTTCCTTAACTTGTTGCAATCTTCCCCTTGTGAATTTGGAAGGAGATGTGCCCCCAGCACTCACTGTCACCCGGTCACCTCCCTTCAGCCTGCGTCCCCTAACCCCGCTATCGAGGCAGCGGTTCATTTGGGAGCCAGGCGCGTGATACGGGAGGTGTCTGCCTCGGCTCTGATAATGTGGTGCCAGCGCTGCTGTCACTGCTGCCTGCGCCGGGAGCAGAAGCCGAGCTCGGCGTGTTGATGTGCTTGGTGCCGGTGCAGCCCCAGCAGATTCACAGCCCAGCCCTTGAGGAGTGTGCGAACTTCGGATCATTTCATTTGGGGTTATTTTTACAGTCCTTTGACTCTTTCTGCGAGTTTTTCTTTTTTTCTTGGGTCATCTTGTTCTAATTATTTTCCAGGAAATGAGAGCCAATAAAAGAAAGCCTTTCTGCTATGAATACACATGTATTTTAAAATGGAGATATTAAATATGTTCCCTAAGCAGAAGTAAAACCCAGTCCAGCATATGCAAGTAATACAAGATTCAGCGTAGCAGTTTGGGCCTTTAAATATACTGATGGCATTTAACTAACACTTACCACAGGTATAGCTACGCTAGTGTAAAAGGCAGTTAATAACCAGGGCGGGAAGAGAGGGGAAACCCTACTCAGTTAAGCTCATATATTCTGGTAACTATCCTCATCTGGGAAATTACGTTAGTATAACCTGTCAGTAAGAGCTACACTCTTGACTTCAACAGTTCTCCGTAGAAAACCCGTAGTGATGGTGTTTTAATAACGCTCCCCTTCCCGCTAACTTCACATGGGGGCAGCAAGGCATTGCTTTATCAGCAGGATATGCAGTTTTACCTGTGAAGTGACTTTGGCAGAATAAATGTGCAAGATGTAGGGATTTCTGACTCCAAGGTGATTTGTTGGCAGGTTAAAAACAAAAAACAAAACAAAACAACAAACAACAAAACAAACAGGTTTTTAAATAACTAAACCTCTGTATATTCAGATTGGCTTTCGTATGGGAATTGATTCCATTATTTTATATTACCAGGAAGAGGAATCTCTGCTGATGAAGTGTTAAGCTGCAATATGTAAGTGTACAAACTGCAATAAAATCCAGCTCTCGTGGTGAGCACAGCCTGGCTTTTTTTACATGCCAAGTGATCTAAACGATAGTACGGTGATGATGAATTCTAGCTTTTCTCTGGGAGAAGGGAGGGAGAAGACTTCAGGTTACAAGTTTTAATTTACAATCCTGATTTGCAAGGTTGTGGACACAATTGCAGAGCCAAAGTAATTCCCGAATCCAGATTTTCAGTGGTTCTGATGGGGTTGCAAAATTGTTTGACAGTAACGATGTAACAATAGATACACTAGCTAAATATAATGAGAAAGGTGTACAAACGCCTGTTTGGCATCCAGGGTTGGGCAATGAAAAACAGGTAATCTCACTTGTACCCAAGTGACTAGGCTACCAAGAATGAAACCGAATATCTGAAAGGGGAAGAGAAGAAAGCATCCATCCACCATCTAGAGTTTTATCTCCAATGGGTTAAAAGGCAAAGGGGATAGGAGTTGCTGCCAGTTTTGTGTGTGCTGCCATCAAGGGAATGCAGCAAGTTGCAGAGCATGGGTTGGAAATACGATAGGGAAAGGAAAACATCCCTAACAGCGAGAGCCCCTTGCACGCCCCCAGAAGATCACGGGAGCTTGGAGAGTCGCGTTGCAGGGTTTTCCTTTTCCTAGCTCTAAAGAGCTTCCAACCAAAACAGATAGAGATACGGAACAGGGTGACAGGCCTGTGTTCTTGGAGAGTTTGTGAGATGGACACCCAAGGCGGAGGGAGAGGGACTGTTGTTTCTTACTTATTATTGTTACAGTTTCCTCTCATTTGTCCTTTCTCTTCTTTCCTTCCCATCTAGCGCACGCTGGCACAACCAGCCCCGACAAATGTTTGCAGCACCTCACTGTGGCCAGTTCAGCAGCGCAGACTCAAGCTGGGATGTCCTTGGTTTTCCCCCCTGTTGAACTGAGAACCGTTAAGGATGAAAGACATGCTTTTGTATTATCCCTCTTTTCAGGCCTTTCCTATTTCTGATGTTGGTTTTGGAGTAGAAGCAGTTGTATTTGCAAGGAGCTTTAGCAAACGAGGCCTGCAAACCTAAGGAAAGCAAAGCACCGTGCTCTGAAGGCACACGCGTGCTTTTGAAAAATTCCCATCTGTAGAGGGACTGTATTAGTAAACCAGAAAAAACGCCTTTGGTATAACAAGGAGAATATCTCAATGCAGTGACTGAATGAATTTGCAAGGTAAGAAGGAACCGGTCTTACACAGTCACTTAAGCACACGGCGGCGATTACCCCGCAGCAGCTTTGCCGGCGCGGGGAGCGGTGCCACCGCTCGGGTGTGAGGGTGTTGGGCTTGCACGGCCACTGCCACGGCGGGTCCTGTAAAAGCTGTAATGTGCTCCGAAGGGACTCATCCCCTACGCTGCTGCACGGGCACTTCGCAGTTCAGTGTTAAAAATTATACGGAAAACGCACTTTATCAGTTTCAGACAACTAAAAAAAGCCATTTTAACTTATTTTTGGCGCTCTGAGTGAGTAGCTTTTTCAGGAAGCACGGAACGGCGTGTGAGTTCCTCAGATGTCTGAAATAAAATGTATTTGCTTTCCTGCGATCATGCATTTGGCTTGAGGAGGGCAAAGAACTTTTCTACTGAGCCAAAGGCCTCAGGAAACTATACCTGGTAGTAGTAGTGGTAAAAATTAAGAGACTTTTAGGAAAAAAAAATAAAACAAAGTTGAAGCAGATAATAGAGATTTATAAAGCATGTGACCATTATTGAATATCTCTAGGCTTTAAAAATCTTTGCCCGCTCTAACATATATATGAAGCTTCAATTGTATCTAAAAGCTGCACGATGCTCGGTTTGATGGGACCCGGGGAGATGGGCATCCTACAGGACCTGGGCCTTGGGGATGGGTTTAGTTTGCGCTGAAATAGATTGAGCTATTATACAAGACTGGTAGACACAGGAAAGCGAGTGAGAAAACTGCAGAGTAGAAAAGACTGTTGCTATATTTACAGGCTTTTTGCATAGTTTGGTCTGGGGTTTTTTGTGTGCTTTAAATCATACAGATATTACCTGATCAGCTTGTGAAGACAGCTAGGAAAAAAAAATCTTTGCTAATTAGTCTATTGCTAAATAAGCTCTAAAGCACTCTGCCAAGTGCCAAATGTTTTAAGTTTTACAAAAGCATTACGAGGTGCACTATTATCTCTGGTTTTACCCAGACAGGTTGAGACACATTCTGAGCTTGAATATATAAAGTACCTGTTACAGATAATCTCTGCAAGGGATCTGGTGCTGGTATTTTGTTGTGATCAAGGCTCCCAACTGGGAATACATATGGGCTAGATAGTCTACTTTTTACCTATCTTCTAATCGTCTGTTATTGCTATTGAAAGAGATACACCTTACTGAGTATCAGTGGAACCATCGTCTCCAAGGATGGGGCTGGGAAAGTATTTTTCTTGCCACGTATAAAAGAACCAAGAAGCTGCTTTTCTTATTACGAAAACATCAGTCCAACCCCGACTGAAAGAAAATGATCTCGGAGGAAGACATGTAGGCATTTAACAGCTGCCGTGCTGTCCCTCGGGGCTGCCCGACACCCCGATGGGTCACTGACGGGAGCTGGTGGGTTTAACTCCTTCCCCAGACGCTCGCTGTGCCCCGAGGCTGGCCCACAGCACGGGGGGGCTTGGGCTGGGGGTGCTCTGTACGTCACCAGTCCCTCCTGCCCGGGGTGTGCCGCTCACCCCAGACCCAACGCGTTAGCGCTGACACCCCTGGGTCGCTGCTAATCAGGTTTTGAGACGGAGCATCTCCATCTCCATCATTCAAATCCCTGCAAGTTTCTTCTCCCTCGTCCAGCTGGGATGATACGGGCGCAGCAGAACCTGCCGCGCTGCAATCCCACTTTCCATCTTGGTAATTGCAAGTTTTTCCAAAGGTTGGCCGCTCCGGGTTGCTGATCCTCTCTGAGGCAAGGTGTGAGCTGTGTGGGAAGCGCCGCTGCAGCCAGCGGGGGGGGGGGGGGGGGGGGGGAAGGGGGGGGGGGGGGGAGGGGGAAGCGCTCACTGGGAGCAGCAGCAAAGCCAAGGGGCCAAAATGCAATTACCTGGGCTGTAATTTGACCAGAATCTGTTGGTCCAGGCTAATACCTCTGTGAAAGCCTGCAGCTGTCTAAGAGTGGCTGAAAAGAGAACAAAAGTGGGAGATGAAAATGGAGAGGGAAGGACGGGTGTGTTAGTAGTGAAAGACGATAATTAAACTGAAGAAAAGCTTGAAAGAATGAGAGACGTGAAATGCCTCAGCAGCAGGACTTAAAAACAGCGCCTGTTATCAGAATTGCCATGTTTCTGCCTTTTTATTAGAAGTAGTATTTTACGGCTTGATCTAATGTGTTGTAAGCAAAAGTTTTGGTCGGCAAAACGTGAGCCGACTTTCAGGGAGAGAGAGAGAGAAAAAAAAAAAAAAAACCAAACAAACTTTCCTCACACTTCGGGAGCTCGGACACGTTTGCAAGCGCATCCCTGTGCCCTTCCCGGCGCTGCCGCGGGCTTTGAAGAAGAGGCGGGGCGGGGTGGGGGGGTGGGGGGGAAGGCAGCGCTACCGCGGGTGCCCCCTCAGCGGGGGCGCAGGGGCCCGGCTGCCGCCCCTCCCCGTGTCTGTCTGTGTGTGTGTGTGTGTGTGTGTCTCTCATCCCCACCCCCGGCGGCGACGGGGTCCCCGCTGTGTCGGTGTGTCCGTCCCGTCCCCCTCCTCCCCATCCCCGGGGCCGCCCCGTCGGGCAGGGGGCGGAGCGGGGCGGGCGCATGCGCACTCGGCCTCCGTCGCTGCCTATAAGGACGGGGCGCGGCGCCCCCCCCAGCCCAGCGGCGGCGCCGGACGGGGCGCACCGCGGCGGCGGCTCCTCGGCCTCTTCCTCCTCCTCCTCCTCCTCCTCCTCCTCGGCGCTCCTCGGGCGGGCGGAGGGTCGCACCGCACCGGCCGCCTTCGCCCATGGGTTCGGCGCAGGGCGCAGGCCGGCCCGGCGCGGCTCAGCGGCGGCGGGGAGGGAGTAGCGAGTAGCGGCGCCGCCCGCCCGCTCGCTTCCCCCCCCCCCCCCCCCCCCCCCAAATCTCCCCGTGCCGCTCGGCCGGTCCCTCCCGGCCGCGGCTCCGCACCCCGGGCATGCGGCGGCGGCAGGACCCGCGGCGAGACTCCCCGCAGCGCGGCGGCTGGATGCCCCGGGGGGCCGGGCGGCGCTGCCCCAGCGCGGGGGGGCTCTGACCGCCCGCCCGCCGCCCCCCTCGGCGGCGCCATGCGGGGCGGGCGGTGCTGGCTGCTGCTGGCGGCGCTGGGCTGGCTGCTGCCGGCGGGGGCCGCGGCCAGCGGCGAGTACTGCCACGGCTGGCTGGACGGGCAGGGCGGCTGGCGGGACGGCTTCCAGTGCCCCGAGCGCTTCGACGGCGGCGACGCCACCATCTGCTGCGGCAGCTGCGCCCTCCGCTACTGCTGCTCCAGCGCCGAGGCGCGTCTCGACCAGGGCGCCTGCGACAACGACCGGCGACAGGGCGGCGGAGAGCAGGGCCGCCCCGGCAAGGACGGCCCCGACGGCGCGGCAGGTGAGGCGGCCCCGGGGGGCCCCCGCGGCTCGGTGGCTCCGGGGGAGCCGCCGCGGGTTTGCGGCGAGCTGCCGGCCCGCTCCTTCCCTCCTGCCGCCGGTTCCCTCCGCCGGCGAGCCGCGGGGCGGAGCGGGCGAGGAGGGGCCAGCCAGGCCCGACTGCAGCTGATAAACGGGGAGAAGCACCCCCGCTTAGATGCTGCTTCCCCCCCCCCCCCCCCCCCCGTTATTTGAAAGCCCAGCCCTGTCTTCTTTAGAAGCAGGGGATGCCGCTTGCCTGCAGCCTCGGGCGAGTTGGCTCAGTCCTGGCGGCTCTGCCACCGCTCCAAATTGGCTCCTCAGCCCCGCTGGTGCTCCCGGTTAAAAAGGAAGGAAAAAAAAAAAAAAAAAAAAGAAACGACCCCTAGGAGCGAAACAAAAAAAGTAACATGACATTTCAAAATGACTCTGGCCGGTCCCCGCTCTAATTGTGTATGTTCTTCCAGCTCAGATACCCACCACTTAGGACTGCTTTTCACGAGATATTGAATTTCAAGGATAAACTCATGTCTTTCTACTACTGTTTAAAAAAAGCCTCGGTGGCTCCCCAGCACCTTTGCTGCCATCCACACGTGCTGAACGCACGAGAAGTAGCCTGAAGTGATGTTATAATTGGGACAGATTTACTCTCGGAAAACTTGCGTGTTACAGTCTGCAGCAAGTGCGTGCACCTGCTCAAGGGCTGCTGCAGTGCCAAGCGTGGAATTGGAGACAATTTTTTGCAAGCCTTTTGTTTAAAAAGTGCTAAAATTCTGGGACAGATGTGGCCTTTTGGTTATAACCTGCTCCGTGTAATCACCCGTGCGAGGAGGTATTCTGACTTGAGCAGGCAGCTGACCCCGGGCTTTGTAGTTCTGAGAATGAGGCATTTTTCTTCGCAGTTAATTTTCTCGATTAATAGTTACTGCTCAGCAGGTTTGGGAGCTGTTGCCCTGTGCTGGCACTGGTTAACCTTGCAGGAGGGGCAGCCGCTGCGCCAGGGCACGTCGTTAGCTGCGGCCTCGTTAGTGCGGGTCAGGCAGCGGCCCGAGTCTCGGGGCTGCCGGGTTTCGGTGGAAATGATGAAGCCCAGGCATGTTGTCTGGAGCGTTTGGAAGCGCTGAAGGGAGGCACCTTCCCCTCGTTATTCCCGGATATATCCCTGCAGATCTCTCCCTGAGGCAGAGCAAACAGCTTTTTCCCTGGGAGTGCAGAGCGGCCAGAGCCCAGGCCCTTCCAAGGGTGGCGTTCCCTCCCGACCCCACCACTGAAGCATCACCCATACTTTCTGCTCCCACCCCTCTCCCACCCTCACCGATCACCCCATGTTCCCAAGCCCTTATCGGGGATCCTGTCCTGCCAGTATCTCCCTACAGCGCTGTTCAAACCCAGCCTTCTCTTGCCTGATCTTTCTAGCAGGGCGTATCGGAGAGAAGAGCTGGTGGGATGGGGAGTGGTGGTTGATGTGGACTAGACCACCACCAAGGGGAGCGAGCCTTCCTCCCTCGAGGTGTGAGCTGTGGGCTTTCTTCCCTGCTAATAACTTTGAAGATGCCTTTGGAAACTCCAGCCGTTGGTTTTAGCAGGCCTTTTCACCTTCCCTGTGTAAAATGCTCGGCTGCACGCAGCTTTTAATGCTCGCCCTGCGCTGACCTGTGCCGGGGTGAGGTAGGCTCGGCTGGGTGAGGGGGAGCTTCAGCCCGAGCTGCTGACATTTGTCCTTGGCCCCCAGTGACGACCTTTCCCTTGCTGTTGCAGTGCCCATCTACGTGCCGTTCCTCATCGTCGGATCCGTATTCGTCGCCTTCATCATCTTGGGGTCGCTGGTGGCGGCTTGCTGCTGCAGGTGCCTGCGACCCAAGCAGGAGCCCCAGCAGAGCCGAGCCCCCGGGGGCACCCGCCTGATGGAGACGATCCCCATGATCCCAAGTGCCAGCACCTCCCGGGGCTCCTCCTCCCGCCAGTCGAGCACTGCCGCCAGCTCCAGCTCCAGCGCCAACTCGGGGGCCAGAGCCCCCCCGACCAGGTCCCAGACCAACTGCTGTTTGCCAGAAGGGACCATGAATAACGTCTACGTCAACATGCCGACGAACTTCTCGGTGCTGAACTGCCAGCAGGCCACCCAGATCGTGCCGCACCAGGGGCAGTACCTGCACCCCCAGTACGTGGGCTACGCTGTGCAGCACGACTCGATGCCGCTGACCCCGGTGCCCCCCTTCCTCGACGGTTTGCAGAGCGGCTACAGGCAGATCCAGTCTCCCTACCCGCACCCCAACAGCGAACAGAAGATGTACCCAGCTGTGACTGTGTAGCGCTGACGCCGTCCTCCCCCTCCCCACCCGGCTGATTTTAATATCTAAACTGAACAGAGGAGAAATACTTCCTTGGAACGAAGCTCCCAGAACATCACTTGTAAATAATTTTGAAAGGCTCATGCATGTCAGACAGTGTTTATAAACCATTTATTTTCATCGGCGTCCGTTGCCAGAAACTGGAGGATGATATCTCCGAATTAACGTTGCCAGATATGCTTTCATTCCAGTGCATGATTTACAGCGGCGAAGGATTATGCTGAAAATGCATATGTATTTCAGATCACTGTACTTGCAAGATAAATGCCGGAGCCATTAAGTGCCCTTCAGGTATGACATGGTCAGAAGTATTTGCCTAATTAATTCGTAGAAAGAGTTTTGTTACACTGTACAAGGCCACAGTACTTAAGAAACCTCTTTTCTCCTCTCTCAGCTCCTTAATGACACTTCCCGTTGCTTTACAGACAGTCACGACTGAGCGCCGAACAGCGCGATCCCTGCGTGCTGGGTGCTGGTACCGGCCCCCCTGGTTTCTTACGCGCCCCCGGTTTGGGGTGAAATGCCACAGAAGGCTTAGTCTTGCAAAGACCGATTTTCCTTGTCCCTGGTATTTATGTAGGAATTAGAAGAGTGTGAATTACTCGGCTCTTCCTTCCGGTGCACTTGAAACCCTTCTTGATTTGGTTTTGCTTCAAGATCAGGACCCGGTAGTGGTTTGCACAGACTTCATATCTTTGTGAACTTTTTACTAAAAAGAGGGTACGAGGTGCTTGCTCGTCCTGACGCTCAGCAAGGCTTTTGGTACAGCTCGCAGCGTCTGAGCTGGACCTGCCTTTGCAGAGAAAGGTCGTACTGTGACTCCCCCCACGCCCGATTTAACCTCACTCCCCATGAAACAGTAAACCCGTGTGAATGCGCACGAAGTTGTCAGCCCCGAACACGGCTTATGATCGAGTCTGACCGTAGGAGAACGGGCTCTGTCCCCGGCCACCCCGCGCCGAGGCCCCAGCCCTGCTCCGGGGTGGGGGGTGTCACCCAAACCCGCCCCGACCTGGGCGTGGGGGGGCTGGGGGAGGTTTGGAACCCATCCCCTTTTCTTCCTTACCCGTGGGGCAGGGGTTGAGGAAGGCACAGCTGTATTTAAAAATAAGGAAAAAAGCCCAACCAAAGGATGAAAGTGCTTGTGGCTGCCCTTGGTGCCACGGGCGTCAGGGAGGTGGCACGATGCGGGGGGACGGACACTTTGCACTGGAGCTGCTGGCTCCATCTTGCTTTGCTTCATCTGGGGAAAAATTCCTCGCCAGGTTGAAGGGGCAACAGTGTGCTGGGAATAATCAGACCATGCTAATTGTAATACGTCACCCCGGAATGCAATGAACTACTTAAGGCTGGTTTTGTCTCTTAAAAAAATGCGGTCCCTCCATTGCCATCCATTTGTTCTTCAGCCCAAACGCCACAACAGAGGACTGAGGGCATAAACCAAAACGGGGCAATTACTGCAACCAGACCAGAGCTGATAAAAGGTTTCTTATTGTCTGATACTGTATCAGTATGTAGCAATAACTGTGATACTACTATTTTTTTGTATGTCTGTTTTTAAATTACACGTCGGTTCAGAAGCGTTGCCAAATCCGGCGGGTTTACCCGTAAACATGCCACACGCAGGCAGTCCGCGGCGGGCAGAAATGATCTTGACCACTGGCACAGAAAAATGAATAGGTGATTTATCCCAGATCTGCTGTTCCTGGCTGCGCTCGCCCGGCCAGCGGGCGGGCAGTTTGGCTGGAGCCCCGGCTCCCCCTCCGGCCGGCGGGGGGGGCTGGAAAGGCGGGAGGTGCACCCGAGCTGGGTGCTGCCGGGCTTTCGAAGGCTCCGACGTGCCCTCGGGTCCCGTGGGCATTTGGGTTGTTGCTGCCCGGCCACGCTGACTTTGCAGAGCCGGGCTGGCGTGGGGCTCGGGGGGCCCGGCCGCCTCCAGCCGCGGGTGGCTTTGGCAGGAGCTGGAGGCGCTTGGTCCCCGGCGAGACCCGGCCTGTCACGGCGTGGCCGGGCAACAAGCCCGTCCGTGTGGTTGTGATCTTTCCCAACTGTGAACCAAGTCATCCCACCCCCCACCCCCCCCGCCCCTGGCCGGCGTGCACTGCCTGCCTTGCACATGCCCTGGCAAGGACACCTCCTCTGACCTATGAAATTCAGGTGAATCTCTTTGTATATTGTTTACTTGTTTAAAAAAAAAAAAAAAAAAAGACTAAGTTAAATTTAAGTCTGTAGAAATTAATTTACAACGGAAGGCAGAGAAACCTGAGTTGTAATAAAAGGAAGTTTGTGAGATGTGGTGGTTTTTTTTGTTTTTGTTTTTTTTTTTTAATAATAATGTCATGTACAATAATGTAAAACCAATGTTACCATTTGATATAGCTTTTGAATCTCTGAAAGGGCACTTGCTTTAAAGTGTTTCTTACAAATGAAGAAAAAAAGCCCCCTTTGTTTCTTAATAAATACTTTATGGTGTGACTTTGTTTTTCTTTGCTTTGTCATAGGTTTTCTCTTCAGTTAATGCTTTACTTTCCTCTGTCTACAAGAACACATCTGACCAGCCCAGTTCTCCAGACCCTGGCAAAAAGCAAAGTTAGGATTTTTGGCAGTGTTTTTAAAGAATAACGGTAAAAAACCCCAACGACTGAAATGGCTGAACGCTGTGCTCTGCTGGGGTCTGTCTAAGGGGGCTTATTTGGCGCAAAGCGGGGCAGGGGGAGAGTGTCTGAGCATCAGGTGAGCTGGGGACCACGCATGTCCCGGCGGCTGCAGGGGAGGAGGCCGGGCAGAGCCCGTGGCCCCAGCAGGCTCCTTCTTTACACATAATGCCAAATACTCTGCAGCAAACAGTGTTTTCGGAGGATTTTTTTTTTTTTTCTCTTTCAGTTGGGTTCACGGTTACCAGCTGAGCATTTCGAGCGTTTATCTCAGTCAGCGCCTGCGCTGGTCCCACCTCCCTCTGCACGGGGACTCTTCTCACTTGAGCAAACTCCATCCTCCCAAGTGAGACAAAAGGCAAACCGCCGTTGTGCTGGGGACATAGCTCAGTCTGGGACAAGGCCACTTCGCTTTCCCGGTGTTTTCTCCCTCCTGCCGCTGAGGCCGGCTGGGGGAGTGCAAAGGGCAGCAGTAGGAAATTGAGCCTTGTCAGATCTGCGTGTTTATGACTCAAATAAATAGGAAAGAAAAGTCTGGGGAAAACATAGCCTTGGTTGGGCTGTGCATAGTGTGTCCCAAAATGCCACGGCTTCCTGGCGTCCGACGGAGGCGAAGGAGCAGGGCTGGAAGCAGAAAGCTGGCCGGGAAGGAGGAGGTCAGCCATGGCTTAGAGCAGATGTGCTGAGGTGACGAGCACTTTACAGCAGGAGAGGCCAGTATTTTGTGTCAAAGCTTTTTCTCATATTTTTATGTTTTGCTTTGTGGTTTGTTTTTTTTTTTTTTTTTTTTTTTCCCCTTGGAAGTTCTTTTCCCTTGGTTGAGAGAGTAGGGTTTTTGCTGCTGCACATGGCGACTACAGATGGTGTGAGGACAGAGAATGTGGAAACTGTTGCTGATAAGCTCTGAGCAAGCGCAGGTGGTGGTTAGGAAAGATGTATTTGTTTAATTTTTATAGGCAGGGTCTACTTGGTTGCAACTCAGAAGGAATAGTCCCACGTCTCATATGGTAACTGGAAAACCCTGGGGCAGCGCTGCTGCGAAGCACTGCACCATGGCAGCCCAGGGGCCAGGATGGGCACGATGGCTCTTGGGTCCTACCAGTGAGCAAGCATCTGCTCCATAGGAGAGCTGGTCTTCCCCTTTTCTTTATAATGCGAGTGCCTAAAATCGGAGCATTGAAGAAAAAAAAAAAAAAAAAAAAAAAATCACAGCCACACTTCTAAAACCTGCTGTGTGGCCTGTAAATACATTTTTAGCCTTATATGGCTGTATGAAGCGATGGAAACACTCCTGCAGTCACTTCACCCATCCTGCAGCCCTGGCCGCGTGCTCCCCACGGGGCTCTCCGTGGCGGGTCACGCAGCCCGGTGCGGGATGACACACGGCTCAGGAAACCTGCCCTGAGAGGCCGTACGCCTTTTTGCTTGCTCAATTTCATCCCGTTACTCAGTCCCATCTTCCCAGACTTGCCCTAAACAAGTCCTCTTTGTTCCTGCTCTTTACATCCCTTAAACTTACGTTCTCGCTCGCTTGCAGTTTAGAGCGCAGGGTGTACTTTTTCAGTGCCTGCTCCTGACCGCATTGCTGCCCGTTTCAGGCGCTGAGGCGCTGTGCCTGGAAAGCAGGGATGGGCGCTGGGGAGAAGCCAGCACACAGGCCGGGCTGCCTGCTGGGCTGCTCAGAGCGCGCAGCAAGGCGCTGCCGGTGGCTTTGCACGGGGAGGGGGGGGGGACAGGGGACAGGGTGGTGCCCCCCAAGGCCGCTGTGGGCAATCCCCCCCTGGGCTGAGCTCAGAGTAAGGCGGGGGGCCCCGGCCGGCCCTCAGTGCCCAAAGCACCGAGCCACGCGGGGAACAGCACGGAACCGCCAGCCGCGACACGACCCCTCACAGCACACGTGTGGAAAACCGCTTGGAAAGATCTTACTTATTAGCTGGGCACGAGCAGAGGACAAAGCCTGTTCCTTCCCATTAGCACGAGGTTTGCGTCGCCCCGTTACCAGCCGTCGCCACCTTTATTAGGGGAACGTGAAGCTTGGTGCAATTCGAGGCCGTTGCTTAAATGGGGCCCATGAGGAGCCCCGAGAGAGCGAGCCAGCGTTCGGGTCCCAGCTCAGTACATTAACCTCAGTACCTCCCTTTCAAAATATCTGATGTGCTGTTCACTTTTGGTCTTGCTGGAGCTCTTCTTTCCCCTCCAGATTTTCTGCTTTCCCGTTCTTTTCCTCCCACTAAAGTTGTTACTAAATATTATTCCCCACATGTATTCCCTTGTATTTTTCCAAGCTGAATCTCATTTTATTGTTTCCTGCTCGTATTTCTTGCTTCTCTGTAGGTCCCTTTGTATTATTTCTCTGTCCTCAGTGGGGTTTGCAACATTTTCCCACCCAGGATCACTTGCAAATAGACTGAACAAGTCACTTAAGCCTGTGCCATCCTTTCTCCTCGTCCCCATCCACACTGAATGGAGCCAGTTCAATGAGACACTGCCCTCCCTGGGGGCTCATAGAGCATTTAATCCCTGTGACAGTATTTCTGTGCAGCCTGAATGGACAGGTAACGCCGGTCACGGGTGCCGTAACAGCCTCCTGTGCCTCAAAAGCGGGGAGATACCCACCACGCTGGACCACATGGCACAAAACATCAGGGTGGGCTTCACCCACGGAAAGCCCTTACATGAACCAACACCGTGTCACGGCTGCTTTGCACCAGCCAAACTCAATTGGTGTTGGCCCATCTGTGGGAAGCCCTGGAGGTGAGGTTGGCAAGGGTCATGTCCTGCCTCAGCACCCCGGGGTGTGCCACTGCCCCCATCTCCCAGGCTGGACCCAGCCCTGGGTGCAACTACAGCCCTGGCGCAGGGCTGGCTTCTCTCTCCCTGTTGCAGAGATACCCCTGCCCATCCTGTAATTTGCCCACAGAAATGCTGTCATATTTGCTTGGCTTAATTTATTCTTTGTATCTAGAAAATCTCAGCACACTGACCCCAGGTTTTTTTTTTTGCCTTTTTTTTTTTTTTTTTCACCTGGCTCATGACCCTGTACCTCTCACCTTCTCCCGCTCCTCCATGCTGGCTTGTTCACAACCTTTTCTCTGGGTCTCGTGTCTTCTCCCTCTCTTGCTTGCCCCCACACCAGCCCCAGGCCCTGCGGCAGCTGCCGAGCTGGACGTCTCACGGGGCAGCTGCGCTGGGTGGGGGCCTCTGGTTGATGCGTGGAGGCACAGCTTCATTAGGAGACTGTGTGCCCATTTAATAAAGGTGATGCCTTCCTGGTTTTCCAAATGCTGAGAGCAAGGCGGCAAACATTTCACTAGGCATGGCTGAAAAGTTGCTGGGTGAGTCAGAGGCCGAGTATCCGCTTACTCCCTGATTTTCATTAGAAGAGGGGAGAGAAAGCTCTCAGGAGTGTAACGTGAATCACAGCTCTCAGACGGCAAGTGCCTCCAGAAGTGCACTGGCTGGTGGTTTTGGCAAAAGAAGGTTAATTTATTTTTTCTTAATATTTATTGATTTTGGTGGTTATTTCTGATGAGACCAAATCACACAGGTGACAACTCAGCCGCACTGGGCACGGCCCGGTGGGTACGTGCAGCTCACCAAGGACAGACGTCGTCTCCTTCTCTTGTTTGCATTGTCGACAGTACGTCAGGAAATACGAAAGGAAACTCACCTTAAACTTTGAAAACAGAATTGTGTCTGCCATCACAGGCTCTTTTCACCCACTTACTAGGCTTATGATAGCAAAAGTAGAATTCAAATATTCAAGAAAGAGTAGAAATAACATCCTTTCTCCTAAACATGATAATCTTTCAGGTAAGCAATCCCTTATTTGCTGTTATCAGTCCTTCAGAAAACCTCCAGCAAAATCAAGGGAAACAATGATACATCAAGCTGAAAAATGTTGTTTACTTCAAAAGAGGAAGTGCTTTCCATCAAGCCTTCCTCATGTTTAACGCTGAAGCAGCTCAGGGCATGGCCCAAACTCATTTCTCTTTGTAGGTTAACTTGCAAACAAAAAAAAGTAGGAAGGCACCACTTCAAACCTTATCGATGCTACTAGGCCAGGGTGAGTGAACATCACATCAGCCAGCAGCCATAGAATAAAACTACTTACCTATCTCCTTTCTAAGATATTGAGCAACTTCCTTCAACCAGGTTTGGAAAGTACTCTGAAAGCTGATGGGTACAGGCTGGTAGGACGTTTGATGCTGCTGGGCACAGCGTGGAGCGTAGGTGGGCCACAAACTTCCTGGAGCCCCATGGTGCTGTGGCCACTTGCCCCAGGGCAAGCCTGACCCGTCACAGGACGTCATTCCTCCGAGATGAGGATGCCAGCACGTTGTGCAGATTTATTACCTGGATGGTAAACAGTGGCTTATGCAGCTGCTAATTCCCTCAATATTTGCTTTTCAAAGAAAGAATCCTATTGGCTTCACACATCAGACAGTCTGTGTGTGATTGTAAATGTCTTGTTATGAGGGAAAAAGTGATTCGCAGTTTACATCAGCGCAAACCAAAGGCAACTGCTGTAGACCTACTGGGCAGTCAGAATCAGGCTCTCGGGTTAAAAGCTAAAATGCCACCTTCACTACGTATGGGTAAACACATATCGTCATTATACAGAAAGGATTTTATTAACATGTATGATATAGGTACACCATTGGAGCTCTGCTACCAGGCACATCCAGATGAACTGACACTGGGACCATATTACATTTTTTTTTCCAGACAAAGGCCTGTAGTAGCATGCTTGCAGGCAGTTCCTTCCACAACGTGAAGATAGGAGGAGGAGGGATGGACCAGCACAATGGCGAAACCAGTGCACTATATGAACCCAACCCAACGTCCCCTTCTTCCAGCCTTCTTTCTCCTGAGGGACCGGGAGGTGCTCCCGCTGCCTGTACTGGTTACCAGCAAGTATCACCAACCAGCTCCACGGCATCCGTCAAGACCAGCGAACCAGTCTTGTTTTCCTGTGACAACTGTGATGGACGTTTGTGATGAGGCTGTAGGTCAGTGCCAGCCAAGACACCAGACACGAGGTGGTGTGAGTGCTGAGGCTCCCAGGCACTTCCCTGCAGGATTTAAGTGCCAAACCACCTTGAGAGCTTGCAGCTTCATCACTCGAGGGCCTGCCTGACGTGACCCAGCAAGCTCAGTGTCCCCACCATTCCAACAACATCCCACCCTCCGGGGCAGCACCTGATACCACGGGAGATGCAGAGGGCAACCAGCACCACCTCTTCCTCCACCAGCCCCGCTGTCCCTCGGATCGGTCGTGGCATGAGAAATGCAACACGAGCTCTCTCCTATCCGGCTTCCTCGTGGCGCGTGTCCTGGCCGAGCGTGGCTACGGCGGCAAGGCCTCACCAGCACGGTTCACCATTCCCCCGCCTTGGACGCAGCCCACTCACCATCTGCCCCAGAGCTCCCCCCTCAGCGGGGACAGCCAAGAAGCGGCGGTGGCTTTCAGTGATGTTTCAAGGCTCGTTTCTCCGCAGCCCCGTATTTCTGCCGAGGAGGATGCAGGAGGAAACCCACTGCTCCTTCCGAGTTTCTGAGGACGTGCTGCACCCCAGACGCTGGGGGAGCGAAGAGGCCTGGGGCTGTGCTGGAGGAAGGGCCGGTGCTCGGTGGCTGGGTACTGCCGCAGCAGCGCTCGGAGAAAGGGATTACGTTTCTGAAATCTTCTTGCTTAACATTCCTCCACCGGACCTTTCTCAGTTACACTTTTTATTTTTTAATGCTCCCATTTCAGACTTGAGCATTAATCTACAGGTTTAGGGACTTTGATTTTCCTTTGGTCTGGTATGAGGCACCGAAGACTGCCGGCAACGGACTTAACAGCTGCTCCGGCAAATACTTGGCTCTGGGACACGACCACTAGACGCTCTCACAGCCTTGCCTGTCAAACTGTTAGAGAGAAAGTCTCTGAGGTGATTAGTCAACTAACATATCTAATAAGAGGTTTAAGCAGCAATCCATTATATTTAACAATTCTGAGAATCATTTCCCTTTTAGTGCGCTGCACAAGAGACGACAGTACAGGGAGCAGTCGGTTAAGCATCAAGTTCTCCTGCCACCAGCCGAATAGAGCTTATTCAAGTTTATCATCAATTTTGCTTCGGCATAATTGATTGCCCAGATGTGTAAGAAGCTTTTACATAGAGTGAAGTTCCTGCTGCTACACGCTTGCGGGCTGGACTGCTGCTGCGGAGGCCCGGGGGAGGAGCAGGCGTTTACCACAGCACGATGGGGATACACAAGAAGTTCATCGCTGGCTTTATTTCTCCACAAAGGAAAAGCAGGTACTAGGTCTGGCTTCTGGGATAAAAGCGTTTTGAAATGTGCTCAAGCAATGACTCGTAAAGGGAAGAGGGGAAGTTTGGCTTACACCTCCTTTTTGTTTCCTAATTTAAAAAATCCAGAAGTAATTTGTTGTTTTAAAAAAGTCTCTCTATGCTCTTAAAAGTGGTTCTGTCGGCAATCTATAAGGAAAAAAAACATTCATCAAGTTATAGCACCCTAAGGAGGAAAAGTTTTAGCCAGACTATGTATAAATATGCATTTTGTTCCCGATAAAAATCTGTTTAATTCCAGTATCTAATGATACTTGGACAAAAAGATCTCTTTGTTAAAGCTCGTACACTTTTACTTTCGCTAGGGATCTTATAACGCGCGTTCCCCACGGTCACCAAAATTGAATAAGGCCAATCTTTTCCGCAAACTTAACTTCAGCCTTGACTCCAGTATCGCTCCTGTCTCGGGGCACGCGTGATGCTTTTGCTCAGGAAGGATGATGCTGTTGCCCCGAGCTGGCCGTGCCCCGAGGCCCCACAGCCCGGGCTCGCCCCACCGGTGCGCCAGCCCCCAGCTCTCCAGCGGGCCCAGCACGGGGGGACAAGGTTCTTCACGGCTCACTGTGAAAAAATATTCGTTAAATGGAAAGAACATATTGTAGCAGAGACGATCACAGCACGCGTGCCCTCGAGCATATGGATGCAGAGCTACTGGGGACACGAGAGCCTTTGTGTGGTGCTTCGTGCTGTCAGTCTTGCTTGAGGCAAGTGAGCTTGAGAGGTAATTCTCCGGGCAAGGCAGCGTGAGCGAGCTCGGCAGCGTCAGCCGAGCACCGCCAGCGGAGAGCCGACGTGATATCCCTGATCAGGCAGAAGCAGGAGAGATCCTGCCCCTGGGCTCAGGACGGGTTGGAGAAAGGCATCTCTCGCTGCACCATCAGACCACTCTCCCCTCCCCCAAACACAGGAGCGTGCAGGCACGGTGTTAAAATTGAAGCCTCTTGAAAATTTAGCTGCAAGAAGGGAGCAAAGGAGATTTTAGTGCTTAATTTCCCCCTGCTGTGGCTACGTGACTTAGCAGAGACAAAAGATTTCTAAGGTTTATTTTGGTGAAGACTTGGAGAGACCAAATGTTGTAGGAGAGTATCTGTCCATCTAGTTTATATAAAAAGATGGTTTTCCCCCTGGAGACGCTATACAAATATCAGGTACCTGCTGTAACCTCACCAGTACCATTCTCATTTTGCCATATTAGTCTTGCGTCTGGGACCTGATTCAAGACCCACTGAAGGACCCCAAGCCTTGTCCTTGGCACTAACAAAAGCAGGCCCTTAAAACACAGACAAAAAGGCATGGAAAAAAATAAAAATTATCCACTCACCTGCTTTGCAGCCTAGATCTCCAACGTATTTAACACTGAACTCTCACTGCAAAACTTGCGGGAGGGAGGGGAGAGAATAAAACAAACAAGCCTCAGTCCGTGCTTTAATAAAAGGTTTATTGGAAATATTTTTGTGCAGACATACAACAGTCAACAATGCTGTTCAAAGCTACAAATTTTCTAATTTTTCCGAACCTTCTAAAAATACAAGTAAATGACCTTCATTTGTATTCAGTCGGGGAGGGAAACAAACTCCACTGTAATGCGATGCTGTATTTAAACTACCAGAGGACATTAATAGGACGTGAAAATGGTAACACTTCTAGAGGAAAAAACCCACGCACCACTGCTGCTCTGCTGGGAGCCAATTAAACATCCCCCCACAGCATTACTCCTCTCTGCATATCCAGATTAAAACCTCCCCATCTGAAACAATATTTAAGCAATTCGAGTACAGATATGACAGACAAGCGGGCACATGACTTGGCTCGCTGATGAAAAAGATGCTGTTAAAGATCCTGTCACTCAAGCCGCTGAATATTTGACCTCTCAGCGCAATGGGCTGCACTTTGGGGGCAGGAGGAGGGACAGGGGGAGGGTTTCTAGTCGGATGACTCTTCCAACACACACATGCACACACAGTCCCAGAGGGCTTTGCTGCCTCATTGCTTTATGTTATCTGGAGCCCCTTTTCTTTTTTTTTTTTTTTTCTATTTTTTTTTTTTTTTTTAAAGAGAGTTAAGAAACAACTTTGAGCAATTTTCCAGTCTAAGAGCTCTTGACAGTAAGAACAGCAAGTGCCTGCATTCCCTTCCTGAATCAAAATACCAATCAGAAGGACAAAGGAGCGCATATGCATTGTCTGTTAAATTCCATGTTTTCTAAGAAACCCTTGCAGAAGTTTTGAAATTGATTAATTTATGCCAAGACAACATCTGGAACATCTTCGCAGGGAAGCCACCCAGTAAGGTGGTCAGAATTTAAAACAATCACGTCTTTTTGTTAATGTTGGCTTTTTCCTTTGGCTTCATCACTCCATAATTACAAGGGTGCTGACCTCCCAGCTATGCACAGTGACAGTTTGGCAATATATTAGTCTTTTCTTCATCGTTAGATTTCCGTGTGACTGCCCAGAGCTGGGCTTGCCCACACGGAATTTGTCATTTACCCCCTTCTATTTCTCTTTAGTAGCCTCAGAGATGCTGAGAGAGAACCATTCCCTCGTGGCAGACGTCAGGAGAACTTGTCTCACCTTCTTCACACAGAAAGGAACGCTTTGGAGAAACACCAGCACTCAGCTATGTTACTTTCTGTCCACACCACAAATGAGCAAGCCACGAATCCAAATGAAACAACCCCTCAGCTTCACACTCTATCACAAAAAGACCCAGGTCCCCAGATTCCCAAGTCCCTTCCACCAGCCTGGGGGATAGGAACCTGCCCAAGAGCAACACCCAAGGAGAAGTCCCATTACCTCTTTGTGAAAAACATTCCCTGTCAGGACAGAAATCATGTCAGCGCTCCAATCCCGTGGGTCCATGAGGCAAACAACCACCAGTAAAGAATTTAGCTGTCTGTCATAACCCAGAAAACAATCTGCTAGAGCTGAGGGATGCCAAGCAGGGGGGCTTATGGCAGGGACACCTTCCCTTTCTCCAAGCCCGGGACTCAGCTTGGTGCCAGAGAAAGCTCAGCTTCAGGTGATAACAGAGCTTCACAAGCTCACAACGTGGCTCTCTCTCTCTCCCTTCCCAGAGCTGCAGAAAGGAACTGTAAAAGTAAGCTTTATCACAGCTCTTCAGGGCAGACTGAGGAATGCCTCCCCTCCCTTGCCTCTAACAGCAGCAGTGGACTCGGCCAAGCCATTTCGTTTCCCAGTCCCTTCACCCCCCCAGACAGCCCATCCGAGAGCACGTTCCCGGCCAGATAAACCCGGCTAGGCTGCAGGCCACTGGGAAGCGATCCCCTTTGGGATTCAGTTCTGTGGCTGAGCAGCGCAGGGCTCTTTCTGGTTTTCATTTGCAAACAAGGCTCAAAGTCTACATTAATGTTGCTGCTAGGTACAAAGAGGTGTGGAAAGAGTTATTCTCTGCACCCCATGTGGATTTTTTTTGTTGTCATCTATTGTACTGACCTCTCCTATGGTCTTCTCCAGACTCCCAGCTCCGGTCACAAGCACTGAAGGGTAGTGGAGGCTCTCCTGGGTGTCTGGAGAATAATGAAGCTTTCAGGTAAGAGGATCTGAGCTCTCCCTCCTGGAGCTATTTGGTTCTGAGAAGTCAGTGTAAGCAATATCGTAAGACTAGTGAAAATAAAAAGAGAGCAGGGCTGTGTTAAATGTGTAATCAAACCACAGAGACTTGCCCCAATGCCACACAGGAGGAGAAAGCTCTAAGAAAATAATCAACGCATATGGTTTCACCAAAGCAAGCACCAAGCCTTTCATGTATGGTACAGAAAAAGGGTAAAAGCATGTTTCACTCTATTCTAACAGGAATTACCTGCAGTCAACCCAGAAGGCTCAGCATGAGGAAGAGTCAGCTCTGAAAACCATCCGTCTGAAAGCTCAGCTCATGTCAAAGACCCCACCTCATCAGCACTAACAGGTCATTTTCAAAGCAGCAGCGGCCGTGCTCCTGGAGCAGCTTGTTTTATGCCTGCTGCTGCTAGGAGAGTTTCACTGGCCACCATCTATGGCACAAAAGACAACTGTGCCACCACGTTACGGAACAGGCAGCTCCTCAGGGCTGCCTCTTAGCCTGGCTGGAGAGCTGCCCTTCAGAGTGGGGTCTGGGAAAGAGCTCCTGCACAGAGGGCTTCTGCACAACAGTGATGTGGCTGCAAATAAGCAACGTGCTAAAGAGAGGTGACAGTGCCCGTTCCCTCACTCGCCACGTGCCACGGTTGCTCATGCAGGGCCTGACTGATGGGATGAGAACGGGCTGTGCACAAGTCCAGCCATCAGGTCCATAATCTGCTGATTCTTCGTTTCTTGTATACCTCTTCACACTGTCCGCAGCGGCAGTTATGAGTTATGGCTAGGGAAACACTCGGATTTGAATTCAAAACGCTCCCCATTTGATAGGCATTTCACCTGTGCCTCTAACAGCTGCCTGCAGGACAGCCTCGGGGCTGTGCCCAGGGGACCCCGCAGGGAGAAGGGCCTGGATCTGCTTGGTGCTCAGCATTCTCAAGGAGGTGTGGAGCTGTAGGACAGAGGGACGCCAGGGGAGTTGAGTGCCAGGGTCCTTCCCGATAGCACAGGAGGAGCCCAAGCGTCTGGAGACTGAGGAACACGCATGGTCAGTGCCACATTTCAAAAGCAAACTGCTACCCAGGTGTATCAGGTATAGCATAGACACAGCCAAATTCTCCTCCGGCCCATCAGGTATTTCATATCATCACCGTTTATTGTTAGACTCAACAAGACACAGAGCTCTCCCTGAGAACTGACTCAAGTTTAAGGCATTGATGCTGTGTGATGATCCAAAACTAAGGTAAAATATCCTCAGTGCCTTAAAATTAAGGAGAAATCTGACAAATCCAAAGTGCTTCTTGAGGGTGAACACCCACTCAAGGGCTGCTCCGCTTCAAACTTGAGCTGTGAGGCATAACAGCTAAAGGACAGTCTTCCTCGGAGTATTTGAAAGCTAAATTAAGTCGTCATTTATAAAACCAAGGAGAATGTAAATAGAACTTCACTAGTTGGCCCTGATGACTGGAGGCAATGCAAAACAGCAAATTTGGTGAGTTAGTCAAAAAGGGAAAAATAAACCTGCAGCATGCACCCCTCAAGCTCTTGGGGTTGTTCGCAGAGGGCCAAGTTGCAGCCAGTGTGGCCACTGATCACAGCACAGTCCCAGCATTTCACTTATTCTGGTCCACCTGAGCTTTCTCTTCTTTACTTACGAGCACTGACTGTCTCCCAGCAAACACGCTCCGGTACACGCTATAAAAATAATGTAATCTTGGTAAGAGGAGACTTCCCTGCAGCATCTGCTATTAGCTGCTGGCTGAGCCAGGGGAAGAGACTGCAAATTTCTGGCTTGCACTAAGAGGCGTGTGGTCTAGTGAAGTGCAGATTAGTGAGGCTTGACTGTTATCTTAATTTACAGCCCATATAGTTCATGTTAACTCCACACACATTTTTAGATACATTAGCAGCTTAGTTGGACTCAGATACTTTTATTGGTTATTTGCCATTTCTCCTTGACAAGTTATTACTGACTTCCCATGCTAGCTCCCTACAGCAAGACCTGAAGCCCTGTCAAGGAAAAGAAAATGTCAACAGACTTCTCAGCAGCGCTCAGCTCAGGCTCCCGCTCACCGGCTTTAATTTGCTACTAGGCAATCATTAAAGGAACAGCAGCTTCTATGCAAGCAGCGATTATGGTGTTACAAAAAGAAGCAAGCAGATTCAGGTTTAATTCAGGAACATCACCACTTCCTTCTGCGTATTCAACCCCCCCCCCCCCACCCCCCACCCCCACTTAGGTCAGTGCAGAGAGCTGCTCAAGAAACCCTTTTCTGATCAGCCTTCGGTAGTTAAGTCTGGACAGTCAAGCAGAAATCTTCCATTCCTGCTGCTCCGATACCCTGTCTAGTTGATAATGCTTCCACACTGCGCTTTCAAAGGTTCTCTGTTACTGCTGCATGCCCCTGTGTTAACGAACAAGGAATTCTGCTGATGCACAGCAGCTGTTGTTCTCTTGCGAACACACCACCGGAATACACCTCATCACTGTTCACCAAGACAAGCAACGCCAACAGTCGGGCTACAGCAATACATTAATTACACTACATTAATTCCTGTAATGACTCCAAAGAACAAGAAGAATGCCAGGTCTTGACCTGGGTGGGCTCTACAGGATTAACTCAGCTAGAGATTAAGGCCTTACAGTGGTGATAAAGTCTGACCCGCTAGCCCCAGTGTCACATACTGTATAGCCCTGTGACAAACCCCATGTGTAATTCCCATTGAGCTGACACCCAACACACGTAGCTCTATCTAAGCCACTAGCCACTCTAGGGAGGGTTTGTGTTTGTGACACACACTGACCTCAATTTACAGAGAGGTCAAAATGATACAGCCCATAGTCTGCACTAATAAAATAAATCACATTAGATGACAGCTGCTCCTCCTCAGCATCTCTCATTATGGTCTGTAAAATTCTGTTGCACTGAGTTAAAAACAGTAAAGATTTCAGGATACTTTCTTTTCTCTGCTCAACACATTTACTTGCCTTTCTTCACCACCGAGAGGTTTTTGGAAGTTTTCTTCTGTATCCTCGTGAAAAGCCTCCAAACTGTTTACATACCAATGTTTAGTGTGTGGTTTAGAGTACAAAGACTAAGCTGGTCTCGCTTTGTCTCAGTGGGAAGTTAATTTTCCTTGTGCTGTTACAAAAGGAAGAAACAGTTTGCAGTTCTGAGGACAGGCTTACACCTCACATTTCCTAAATAGATTTTGTTTCTAAATAAAAGAAAGTGTTTAAGAGGTTAGATCAGCATTAAGATTTAAAATCTCCTGGGATCACGTTTACCCTCCCCTTATTTATACTCTGCACTAGTATTCATGCCTTTAAACAAAATTCATCTCCCAGAAAATACATATACCCACACTTGGCCCCTTGACATTCATGCCTATGGCAAAATTATTTGCACATTTCCCTTATTGCATAATTGTCTCATTAGCACTGCAGAAAGGTGGTGATAACTTTTCCCTCTGTGCCATCAGCCTAATCCAGGAGCAATCCTGCCTGGTGCTGCAGAAGCAGAATTTTCTTTTTAACATGGAAGGGGACTCCGAGCCGGCACTGGGAATTGAACTATGACACTTCAGCGCTGGCATTTACTCACAACCCTTAAGGAAGATTAAGCCAGTGGGCCAGGCTGGTGTTTTCATTTTCCTTGCTAAACATAAATATTCATATTAAAATTGCTTTTGGATACATTTAAATCAATAAAAAGTTCTGGATGACTGTCAATAGGGCAAAAAACAACGCCAACTTTTTAAAATGCACAGATGGAGTATATACATTAACCATGAAACCTGGCTAAAACACAGCAGTATTTACTTTATGCTATTCAGAAACGTGGCTTGGCGACTAAAATTAATAGAACTTGTCTGGAGGACAGCAGAAGCTTTCTAAGAGCTCTTTCAGCTTTAACTTATGCCCCAGTTTTTGCCTTTTTTTTTTTTTTTTTTAAATTCCAATCTATGCAGCAGCACGCCTGTCCCACTGGCACAGCGAGGCCATGGAGCCAGCATTCCTTCCAGGGCCCACTGGCCCGAGTGTGTCAGGAAGCCTGCTGATGGATCAGATCTACAAGAGGGCCTGGGTTTGGCTGAACAAACAAACAGCAGGTCTTTTCTTCACAATGACCAGCTCTGTGGGTGTACATGCGTGTGCACGCACGTGTGTAAACCGTTCCTAACCTTCCTTTGCACGCTTATCTTACCTGGTCAGGGGAAAGCTTCTTTAGGGTTACAATATCAGGCTCCTGCATGGACGCACATCTTCTTCCTCAACACCTGACAAGCTTATACCTTTGAGGTTCTCACTGTTTTGTTCTGTTGTTAAAGTGGGAATGGGTCACAGAGGGAAATCCCAGGCTACAGTTGAAGTGCATGTCCAAATACGTCATGAAGAGTTACCAGGAGGCACCTATTTGAGTTCATCTTTGTGCACAATGCCATGCACTCGAGAGAGCTGCCCTGCTGAGCTCTCTGACTTTCACATCCTGGCTTCCTGAGTGAGCTATTAATTGGGTTTTAGAAAGCTAAGATAGAGCCCTAATAAATCCCATAAGAGGGCAAGAAATATTTTAAGTAATCATTGCTATCTTGTGTTACTCTGTCAGACAGCATAAGCTTTCTAAGAGCTTATGGCAGCAAATAAGCCTTTTTACCTACAGACTGTGTTGCAATCAAAAATTTTATGCCAAATTGTCAGTTAAAAATTTCAGCCAAATTAATAACCGGTGAATATTAGAGGGAGTAAGGTCTGCATGCAGCCGTGTGCGCTTGGTCTGTGTGTAACAAAACAGGAAATCTCAGCACCCCGTTCCAATTAAGCAAAGGCTGATTTCTCATGGAACATAAATTTTCTACTTTTCTCCCAGAACAACCTTATGCTGATGTTTTAAATAGTGGTAAAAGATTGTTTTTAATTTCACACCTCACACAGCACAGTCAAATGCTTCATAACAACATAAACAAAACTTTAGGCAGAGCTTTGCGACTGAATTCAAACAATTATTTCCCCCCACAGTATGTACCCAAGGTTTGCAGGGAGAATACAGAAACTTGTTGGCTAAGGCCACAGAAATGAGTTCTCTGGTGTTTTGGCTGCTGCTGCCAACCCTCGTCAAGAATGTGTTAACAGTGGATGCATTGATCCAAATCCCATTATTCCCACCACCCAACGAGTAAAGAACCGTTTATTCTATTTCTGCTCTCCTTTTGGTTGTATCGTAGGATCGAACAACTTGCGACTGGGAAACAACACCGTGTTCTTCTTGAGAAAACGCATACCCATCTGCAAAAGCAAAGGAAGAAGAAAATAAATCACTGGAGTCCAGCCCAAGGGCACAGCCCAATTTTAGGAACAGTTTTAGGCATCACTGAAGTTACAGGAATGAGACTGCGACAACCTTAATTCCTGTGCTGCGCTTCTGACATTTACAGCTGTGCACTACATCGCGCACGTGGCACAGAAAGGATGTGTGCTGCCAGCTCTGTCTTACGCTCCCCCTCCCCGAGCCAGGTTAGGGTACACAGTCAACATTTCCCTCTGATTTAACTTGATTAATAACGTACAGATTGATTTGGACACGTGTGTACACCTGTAGTGGCAGAGCTTCTTAAAGACTTAGCAGGCAGGTAGAGAGCTGCATTTTGGCTCGACTCCTCTATCGTCTGCTTGCTATCAGCAGTTTCCCTGGAGGAACATGGAAATGTCTAGACCACAACTGGATCTGAGTCACACCTTACTCTTAACTCCGCTCAGGAATTTTTTTTACAAGTTTCCAGGTGGCATCTGACAAATCACACCGACAAATTCTCTATTCTCTTGGCCGGTCACCCACATCTTGGCTGGAGCAAGCTTAAACATATTCTGGAGGTCTCTAGTTTGCACAAGTTAATCCTGCTAGCTAGCACAATCCTTTGGTCTCCCTAGAAACTACTCAGATGAAAATAACCACGTGTCTGATTTCTTTGAAAGTACTGTGGACAGGGCAAGTGACATTTCTGACATCATCTGCAAAACACCACGTTACTGGTAAAATGATCATAAAAGCTAATGGGCCAACATGGTGAACACCAATCAATATTTAAAGCAGACATGACCCTACAGAAAATTCTGAAAGAAAAACTATAGCAAAGGGCAACAGACTTTGTGACACCAAGAAAAGGTGATTTTCAGGTGTAAATGGGTAAACCAGAAAGGAGAAGGGCAGATTAGCATAGCTGCAAAAATGGAGAAATAGGAAAGTCACAGCCTATACAGAACTAGATAGTGCTTTGTAGTAGGAAAACAGGCAAGAGTTGACAGATATGAACACTGCCTGGGAGAATCCAAGAATTATACCATGGCTACCTTTCCATCTCCCCTGAGCAGCTCTGGAAGCAGAAGCTTGTGAATTCTGAAATCCTGCGCCAGATTCAGTCCAGGCTGAAAGACACAGCATCAGATAAGGACGGATGTCCCAATTACTACCCAGAGACCTAGCAAATATCTTTCAGGAGTCCTCCCTGAACAGACTCAAGGTATATTCCCCCCTAGATCAGGTACTGGAGCGAGATAAGGCTGGAGCACAACACAAAGGCACCCGGGGCTGAAGACCCTCTTAAGGCGGGGGGGGTGAAGCCCCTAAGCAGCTTGGTGCTGTAGACTGAACTTGCTTCCCACGGGCCTGAATGCAGCCTGCTTTGAAGCAGGTGACTGATGCTGCTAGCCAGGAGGAGCCCAGAAAATGACCTATATCCCCTAAGTGAGGCTTGTTAAACCTTCATTTTGACAACCAAGTCGGGACCACGTGAGCTGAGCACAGATGCCCAGGCACTCCTAGATCTTTTTCTCTAATGCCTGCACAGGGAGGGCGGTCAGGAACTCCTATACAGCCGTAAGCTGCTGGGAAGAAGGTCCCACAACACTAGGGATGACCACTGTTCAGCTGATGTGAATGGTCCTCTCTCTCACAGAACACAGGTAACCATCACCTCTGAAGTCACAGGGACTCTGCTGAAGACGTGAGCTCTTAAGACAGAACGCACGCTCCCTTAGCAGGAGAGCACACTGTCAGCAGGTTATCTGACCTGAATCACAAGCATGGAAGGGAATCTTTGCCAATAAATGGAGGGGATTCAAACAGAAATACACCATCCAGAACTAACTTGAGTCGTATCTCCCTCTTAGAGTGATTGCAGGACAGTAAGAACTTTGATTTATTCACATGACCGATCATCCCAGCATCCTATTTCATTTTCCCTGAGCAATTCCATGCCAACATATATACAGCTACCGAGGTACAGGTTGTTTTTTTCCTGCCTCTAGCTGAAGTTTCAACAGAATACATGCACAAAACGCAAACAGTCTTTTGGGAAAAAAGTACGTGCATGCTGGATAACTGCAAAGGCAGTACAACTTACAAAACAGGCTTTCCTTTAAAAAAAGGGTAGATTCACATTTAAATAAATACCTCCAGTGGGTTTGTTCCATGCTCAGGGCCAGCACACTGTTAGCTTTTTTGGCTAAATTCTTAGTGCAAAGTCAACCTGGTCGAAGACTGCTAGCTTAAGCCCTAAAAGACTGAAGTCCATGCTCCATAAACCCGGTCTGCATCGAGATGGCTTTGCTGTATTTACTTATCCAGCAAGATCACTCAGTGCAGTAGATTCTTCTAATTACTGCAAACCCAGCACTGATCACACGAGTATGTGGAGCCCATCAACCCCGGGTACCTTCCCATGGCCTGCTTATTTCCAGTGCTAGCACAAGCCTATAAACAGCCGGGCAGCCCAAGCACTCTGCAAAGCTAACGCAAAATGTCCTCAAAGAAAAACATTCACCATTCTCACACCAGTAGGAAACGACTTAATACAGCAAAAAATTTCAGGCTAAGACTACCAATGGTGAAGAATACCGGGGGTATGCTTACATCCTCACATTCTCGATCCATCCTGAAATATCAGCAACGAGGGGTTTGTGTGTACATCATGGGAAAGGCTGTGACCCCCATACTTGCACACTGCCCTACTTAGCAAAGTTCAGCATTTAGCAGTTTATTTAAAACTTTTGCTGTTGATCTCTATACAGGAAGATGAGTTCATATTACATTTTTTAATTCACATTACAATTAAAATCGAGCTTCAAGCTCTTCAGTCAGCTGACTGTGCCTTGTGGAGTCAAAATTAGAGTCCCATCAGTACTCCCCAAGCAGCTCTATATTTCCACTACTTTCAGACCCCATCCAAAAACAATGAAAGTTTCCATCTGCCAGTTCCTAGGGAACTTTTCGGAAGTTTGAACTTTTCCCCCAACTCCAGTTTTAAAACCACACCTATGAGCCTGCCCTGGGAACAAGGCCCTCATTGTTCAGCTGTCCTGCAGCAGCCCAAGGAAGGAGCACATTTCTTTGGGGCTTTCTGGGCACAACAACCCACTCACGGCCGTCGCAGAAGGAAGGACTTTGTACTCAGAGGCTTTCTGTTAATGGAGGAAAGGCGCACTTTTGAATATCTGTCAGTGGGGCTCATTTGTTAGGAGGAGATTCACGTTCTCATCAAATCTAAGGTTTCACTCATACCAGATATTATCAGGCAATCTACTGAATTTTAAAAGCATCCTGTTGGTTTTGGGTTTTTTTTTAAAGCTTTGATATTCTATTAGTAGATCGGAATCTAGTCTCCCATTAGGTTTCCAATTTAACACACTCTTTCTGTTCACTGCAATGCCTATTCCGGTCAGTGCAATGCTGTATCAGAGAAACTGTCACCGTGCATGTGCCGAACACAGACAGTAACACTGTGCAAGCTCGACAGACTGCTTGCATGCGACAGCTTCCATGACCAGGACCAGAAAGGGTCCGGAGTGCTCCTTTTCTTCCAGAAAATCTGCTCATGGAAGGACTGCGTACAGTTTTAGTCACTTCAGGGATTTATTTTAGAGGCCTCCTACTCCTTGCACTCTCCTCTGATACACCTGAACTGTCTGTCCTGGGGTTTGTTGAGCCCCACACCATCAAGAGAGCAGTTCTCACGAGAAGCCTGTCAGAAACATTGCTTTCTGCAGCATTTCCCTACTTCATACATGCAGTGGTATTATGGTTTAGCATAGTCCAAAGTATAAAATGCATTTTACCATCATGTTGTCTGCCTTTGGAAAAAAATGCCCAGATGCAAATCTACCAAAATGAAGTTTTAGGGTTTGCAGGGATGGGAAGGTGCTGCTTTTTTTTTTTTTTTAAAAAAAAATCTCTTCTAGGAAATGTTGCGTCTTAGATACTAAAAATCTTTCTGACAAAAATTAGTGCTAGGGTATCTGGCCAGCCAAATTCTCTCAGGCCAAATGCCTGGTTCTGCACAGTTTTGAAGGAGATTTGCTATGATGTTGCAGTTCACATTTTCAAATTAAACAGTAAATGCTAACTCAGCTTTGACTTCTCTGGCAACCCTCTTCCGCTTATCCTGGGAAAGTGAGAGCTGCTTTAAATCTTGAACATTTTGACTAATGCTTACAGAAGTAATTAATTTCTCTGCTGACAAACTATGCCTCTGTTTTCTAGAGGACCCAAGAGGAATTCCTGACAAATGGTCCCATCTCTTTTGTCCTAGATGCTAACCTACTGGTATTTGCATGTAGAAAACAGAGCCAGCTGCCACTGCATCAATTCTAAATTAGTTATTCCTATTTCTTTTTCTTAAGTTGATTTCGAAAGATTGCAACTCCACTTGACAGTCAACAAATACGTAGCTTGGGAAAAATACAGAAGGTATATTTCAAACACATGCAAGGTAAGAAAAAATGGAGTTTAAAAATCATCTCAACTAGCTACCCTGTTTTTTTCAAATCAAAATGCACCAGCAGAAAAGTAAGAGGAAGAAGGTATCTGCTGAGGGAGAATAAATGGTGGGATTAGAGCCCCCAGCATGAACTCATTATTATTATTTATTATTTGCCAGCCCCCATACTGTGAAGCCAACCTCAGATGACAGGTGCTTTTTCTCCATTGATTCATAAGGTGCAAACCATACACTCTGTGTTCTGATTTACTCTATGCAATCACCATATTCTGTCAAAGGAAGAGGGGTTTTCTTTGCTAGCCTAGGAAATCTGGGCCAAGTGCAGCAATCCTCATTCAGGCACAGCTCTTCACATTTCAGGGGCAGTTCTGCTAGAGCAGTGCTTAACAAGAGCAAGATTCAGATGTTTTTAAGAGCATGCTGAGACAAATGACAACAAAACACTGGCAGGGTGTATTCTAAATTACAGGAGGGAAACTGTACTACAGGAATGGTATGGGATTGTCCTTGAAGATGGACAGGTCTGAGGGAACCTGAGCAATTGAGAAGCATCACCCTTCCCATCCTGCTGGTGAGGGTCTGGGGGCACAGGTGATACAGGTCAGTCATCCAGAAAGGAAGGGGAGGTCAACAACCATCTTATCTATCTACAAAGCTTGTGTAAAGGAGATGCTACTTTCACAAAGTCACAGCAGGAAAAAGGACAGGAACTTGGATGGAGCGCTGTGGAAAGCTCACCTGGAGAAAAACCTCATTGCCAGCAAACTGCCTGAGAGGGAGAGCTTTTGAGAGTCATCACTGCTCCTTCTTTTGAGTGTGAACCCCACAGCACACTAAAGGGAAGGGTCCAAAGATGCATCTGCGAGGAGCCTGATGGCACTTCCTGCTCACTCTTAAGAGGCTTTAGAAAGCAGATGACAACAGGCAATCTCCAATTTCACCAGGAGCTACACCAAGCCCAGAGGCCAGCGTCATCATCACTGCCTACAAGATTCCATGGATATGGTTTTATGTTAGCACATGGGACTGACAACTGTATAAAGCTCTTCCACTAAAGTCTCATGACAGTGCCATCCAACAGAAGCGTCACTTTTTTTTTTTTTTTTTAAAGTTTTCATAAAGCTTCCCAGAAGTTATACTAGTAGGAAGAAATCATGATCTTTGACAGTACAGTTAGTAGATAAGACTTATTTCATGCTTCTGATAGCTCTACACGATTCAGGAACACAAAGACAAAGCCAGAGCAAAAAAAAAAAACCAGCCATGAAGGTCTTGCACACTTTAAGGGTGTACCCTTCCAGAGGGACAGGGGCTACTCTCCCAAGCAGTTGCTCTGAGCCAGTTTCTTTACTGGGAGGAGGCATTTGAGAGATTAATCCTGGCTGGCACTCCTGTATGGCAGTGACGTGGCACAGGATCTGCCAGAGTCTGGTGCTGTATGGGAGCACCCCAGCCGTGCATCCTGCTTGAAGGTATTGTGCTGTGCTAACGCTTTTGGAGAGGGGCTGGATCATTAACAGAGAGCTGAGGAAACAGACTGAGCTTCTGCCTTTTGACACAGGGCTCTGCAGACTTACCTCAGTCATTTTTTTCCTCCCACCATAGACCACTAGTAGTAATCCTGACACTCCCCATGAGATTTTTCTCCTTTCCGTGTGATCAGAAACAAAGATATTCAGGCATTGTTTCCTCCTCAAAAATTTGGAAACAGTTGTTGTCAAAAATAAAGTGACTCTCAAACCAGTACTGCATCTTTACAATCTATGCTAGGATTGATTTGCTTCAACCTTTGTCAGCTCTAACTAAACAAACCCTTTTCCTGCTTTATATGCAAGTGTCAGATTCTGAGTTGAAGTCACACAAGCGACTTTTGGAAGAAGTGGTCTTCACAGGCTGGAAACTTGGAGCCTGGTAGAAGCACATGAACAGTTCAAGACTTCAAACAGACTGCTTGTAGTGTGATTTAAGATATTGGCCCAGCATGTCAAGGCTACTGCCCTATTCATCAACTCTTTGCTTTGAAGATTTCTAGCATTTAGTAAACAGTTGTACAATTCAGGGTTGTGAAAACAGCACATGTTCCCTGGATTTCACATGGCCTTATACATACAGCAGCTATGCAACACTGGAAAATAACATTTGACAAGAGATGACAGAAGTTTTAAAGTGTCATGGACACAACATATAAAGCGTCTTTCAACCCTAATAGCTTCACAGTCAAAATTTATGTTCATGTGAAAAACAGACAGCTGATTACAACCTGCCCTGACTAGCCTGACACATTTAGCACTTAATAATTTGCATTTATAGCGAAGCTAGTTAACCAAATCAGTGTCTATTTTAATATCTCATTTTTCTTTTTCAGTAGCTATTCACCTACCAAGAGCCTGATTATGTGTTTTACCAGACTGAAAGCATTTATCAAGTCTGACTAGTCACCACTGGTGTATCTCTGTTCTGCACTATGTTAAGTCTCTACAACAGACTACTTGGATAAAAAATTATTTATGCATTTTATGGATTTCTCCTGCCAATCATCACCTTTGGAATCTCAAGGAGCATGTCTGAATGCCCAAAGCTGTTCTGTCATCAGCATCCCTGGCTCCTTGACACAAAGGATGAAATCCTAGCAGAAGCACGTGGTCTACAGGGCTGCTCAGCACACTGGCCTCTTCTCCCAGGAGCAATGGGATTGATCACTAAAGACCCTACACCCCTTGACAGTGATGGCCTTGCAATGGCTCTATGAAGGACAAAAACCAGCAGATCTGTCACTATTCCATCCTCCTAGTCAAATTCCCTGGGGAAAATATGAATACCTCTGGCATTTGGGTTCTCAAATCCCAGCTCTGTCTCCATGGCCTGAACCCACAACAGTTCTGCTACAGAAGATGACAAAACCAGCAAAAAGATGTGACTTCTCGGGGATTCTTAAACAGTCAGGGGTGTTACTTCTCACTGCAATGGCAATACGAAACCCAAATCCCGCGTATCTGCTCCTTGCTCTGTGCACAGCAGTACTGCATGCTTGGGGGGCTATTTTCTTTAATAATAGCATATTTTGACTACCAGTTTAATCACAAGAGAGACAGCTTTTCACCACCAGAATGGGTTGACTGGACTCCCTGGTCCCTCGAAACAGCATGGTCCTTCAGTGTATCTGACCTACAGAGCTATTTTTATTTTTAATGCTGCAGAAGTCTTTCTAACGCTGACAAAAAAACCCATCAGGTCCACCAGATCAAGGCCTGTCACATGTTCCTCTACAAAGCTGAATAAACGGATGACCTCTACACCAACAAGAAACGCCACTCATTCCAAATAGCTGCAGTAGCACGATATGACGTTGCATCTCTTCTCCCAGCAGAGGACAAAGAGGGAGAGAAGAGAGGCAGCTTTGCATGCCATGGCTTTCCTCATCAGAAACACACAGAACCTCTGAGTGGCATCCCCGAAACCTTGCTGTGTTCTCAGCTAACCACAGATAATATGACTTTTCATAAAGAAACCATTTCTATTTAAGCTAGACTCTTATCACAACATTTATTTTATCCTGCAGAGTTTTTGATTTTACAGTATTCTTGAGACTATCAAGATTTTACATTTAGAGAACTTGTGTATTGGGATTTTGTCATTTAGGCCTGTTGATTGGATCCTAGGGAATTATCCACATTTGAGCTCCACTTGCCTGGGGCCAAATACACTAATTCCACTTCCAAATGTACGTGTCTTGCTTGGCAGCTCAGCCTCTGCACTAGATTATCTCTACCTACAATTTAATTAAAAAATAATCACCCTTCGCTTCACTCATCTGGGACTGACTGCTGTGAAACACACATGCATACATGATCTGCTACTTACGCGATACACTTTGCTGGACAGAATGAGCACGGAAAAGGCTCGGAGGAGTTTTCCTGCCAAGCCTTTTTAACAAATGATCACGTTCGTTCACACTGAGGGAGAGAAAAAAAATACACCAGTGAGTAACCAGATAATTTCAAGGTAAAAGTCAACTGTATTTAAAGTACTTGGCAGCTTTGACTTTGTCAGTATTTAAGATGGTTGTAGCATGAAAAAGAATTCCCTCTTTTCTTCAAACTGTACGTTATCAAGAGAACACTCTAATAATGGGAACTCCTCCTTTCTAAGGCCACTTGGTATAAGTTTACATTTAGTTAATCCATCCCTAAGATTACCATCACTGTGATTTCTGAATACCCAATGCCTATAAATTATTACAAACCATATCAGAAGTCTGACATCAAGTGATATGGAACATTAAAAAGGAGATTTCACTTTAGTACTGTGTACATGAATCACGGCACCCACAAACTGCCTTAGAGAGAAGGAGAAAAGCATCGTGGCTTAGCACGTGGTAAAAGGCTTATATCACACCTGTAAAATGGCCTGAAGCAACCAAAGGCGGGACACAGTTAATTCTGTCTTCTAAAGATCACTCTCATTTTTACTTCTCATACTGGAAAGAAAACTTTCTATCCAGTTTTTGACTAAAACCCCCTTTGGTTTACACAGTTCCTGTCAAAGGCCTGAAAAATTATTACTGAATTTACAGAAAGTAAAAATACCAACTTAACGTGAAAAATACAGTACGCTTACAATAGATTTAGCATATGTACACAAATCATTACAGACAGCCTTCACTCTGATTTTTATTAAAAACACAATTCATTTCATCAGTAACTTTATGCCCAGAATTAACAAATGATAGCTGAGATCCTGACTTTTCAAAGCAGTTAATTACGTATACAAGTCCCCCTATGTCCAGTGGGGTTTTAAAATAATGTAGGTGTCCAAATCTCATTGTGCTGGGGCTTCACATAACCGTTATCTATCAGATTATTTTGAAAAAGATATTACAGTCTATTTTAGTTCAAAGTTCCTCTGAGATTGAGTTGGTTTTCAGCATCTCACCCTTGTTCCTACCACTGAGATAGAGTCAGTGCATGGAAGGGATCTTGTTTGCTAGTGCAGCTCCTTGCAGTGCCTTTATCCCATTTGCACCACATTTACACCATGTTTCCATTTTCACAGTCTGCTGTTTCTTTCACATCTTTATTCACAAGCAGTAACTCCACTGGTTACGTTGCAAACATGGACACACATCTGAATGCCAACACTGCTATCTTTCCTGGATTAGATTACAAATTCCCATACATTTGGTATACGGAATGGAAATCCCAGCAAGCACAGTTGCTGCTGTCAACAAGCTTACAACAGCTTTAAACAAACTACTCCCTTTCATTGAAGCAGTTTGCTGACTTCAAACAAGAAAGTAACCAAAGAATCTCTGAGATGCCTATAATATGTAATCCAGCCATGTAGGCTTATATTCCACTTAATAGTCCATTAGGGCAATATCCAGGCTCACAGTCCTCTGTTCAGTGCATAATGCGATGTCCATGAAAGAAAGGGAGGAATACTTCTCTTTTTCCTGTGATCTCTAAGACACCTGAACTAGAAACTTGTACAGTCTGAGGACCCCTCCTTAAAATCTTTACAAAGTGTCAGCATTTTCAGACACTTGGCTTCTTCCCCTCCTTCTCTTGGCACTACAGAATCATACCTGCAACAGATACGTCAGGTTGCTTTCCTTACCTGTAGTCAGTAGTAGTCCCTCAATATAAAATGTAAGTCGATAACAGGTTTGGAAGCAAAACTATAGATATCAACTGAGTGTCAAGCAATCTTTAAGAGCTCTTGGATCATGAGATCTACATGCGTTCAAAGAAGAAAGGATCACAGGTTTTCGCTAAAACCAGGGTTACAGCACGGACGCTTCTAAAAATCTTGGAAGATCCAACTGGTTAAAAAAACAAAGACCAGCTGGCTGTAAGAAAATCAAGTACATACACAGAAATCTCCAACTGCTCAAAGCAGGCAGCACAACAGAAAGTATGTACCACAAAGAAACAGCAGGTAAGGGGATGGCAGGCACAAAGAAAGACATGAGATTTCTTCAGCCTTTAACAGGCTTACTAAGTTGACAGCCTGCAGAATCAATCATCACCAGTGCATGTGCAAACCGGTGATGCTGTATCATGCAATATCACGCTGATTACGGAGGACTGCTGGGTAACTTGTTAAGTCCACTGACTGGTTAAGTGTAGCGAAAAACCGTCTGAATCCACTGCTGTCCTGGGAATGACAGAAGTGAAATACTTGTTCATCTTCTGCAGGCAAAGAACATATAGGTAGAGTCTTGCCCATCTCAGCAGGAGAACCAGGGGCTTAAAAAAGGAATCTTAAACTGATCAAAAATATTTGTCCTAAGGGACAGATAAGCAGCATCTTCCACAAAATTCTTACACTGAGAAAGGAATTAACCGCAGGAGCAAAAGGCACGAGAAAAAAATTCTTCATCTGCCTGTCTACCACAGCAACAGATGAAGCGCAGGCCAGTAATGATTAGCTCCTCAGGCTTCTACAGGCAATGGGTGGAGTTAAATGTGCTGTCACCGGACTTCTAAACAGGAGTGACACATAGCAGCTCTAAGGAAACCAAAGCTAGACTACCTTTGATATTGCTAACTATAATCACCAATTTCAAAACTGAAATCACACCTGATTTCCCCATCTGGGAAATTATATTGGATCATATCTATGCAGAGAAAGAAACACTCATGGAAGAATTAGAGCATTTGTGGTTTAAGTACAAGGGATGATTAAATAGACTGGAAGTCGAGACCACTCGAGTACTATAAAATGAGCCCTTAATACAGAGAGATAAATGCAACACAGCTCTTCTGAAATGGATATTTTATTTATTAACAGATATTAAAACTCTCAATACAAGCCCTGAAAGTAAAGAAAAAAAGAAGTTAAGTGGGTTTCTTAACTAAAGTGTTTGCACTGATAGCAGCTGAATCCCTGCTTTCAGAAAAGGGTTTTGTGTGCTACCAACAGATAACAAAGTGACGACTTCTCAGTCTCTCTCACATTTTGATGCAAAACTAACAATGACATCAGACTTGAAGGCACCAGGTTAGGCCTTGCTCACAGAAATATTGCTTGTAAATCAATCCTGAGTTTTACCCACGTTTTTAAGTATTACTGCTGCTTTCCAGTGACTCAGAGCCAGCACTTAAGTTTTCCCACAGGGTCTAAGGATGACACCTTAAAATGCACTGAGGCAAAAGGATAAGAGATCACGGGATCATACTCTGAATATTTGATATAGCTGTGTTCATATTCAGGATCTCAAATCGGTGTCAGAATGGAAGAAATCACAAACCTAGACATCCTTATGGGAGTCAGTGACCTGGCAAGTGAAATATGCTTAAGTTGGTTAGTGACCCCAGAAGGGGTAAGGGAGAGACACCATCTATCTGTAATTACATGAAGGACAAAGGACACAGACCAAATTCTTTCAAGTAAACAAAGCAAATAGTAGATTAGAACAAAAACTATTAAAAGAAGTCCCAATTCTGAGGGTTACTATGAAAACCTGTTTTAAATGTCATTACTCAAGTCATCTAAAACCAGATTCCGTTGCAATCAATAATGAAAAATACCTTGGGCCAGGAATACATTTGCAATGGCTTCTTAAGAGGATCAAGATGACTTCTGTCAGCCTGGAAGTCTGTGCTAACAACATTACACAAATTCATTAAGTGAATGACAAATCAAAAGGTAACTAAAGGCAACATGTTATTTCATAACAATATTTTCCATTCCATGAATAAAAAGACTCTTCCATTTCTGTATTTGAATTGCTCTAAGGTGTCAACAGAGACCTTCATTTTATTTTTCTGTGTTCTCTTCTCATCCCTCACAAAAGCAAACAGCCCTTAAATCTAAGCAACAAACATCTGGCTTTACACATTCAAATGAGGTGCATCAAAACAAACAGAGTAATTCAAAGCTGACCACAAGGTCCCACTAGCTCATTTGCTCAAGTAATTAAAAAAAGATGAGCTGCATCACCAATTAACCTACTGAGCACTAATTAGCATTAATAAGGATTTGCAGTACTTGGTATAGCTTGACCCAGAATGTCCTCCGGAGTCCACTAATTGGCTGGTGGCAAAAGCAGGGCTCACAAAGAAGGGATGGTTAAAGTGGATGCAGGTGTCTCTTAAAATTGGATCTTCCCTGAGAAAACACACACATAGCCCAGTTAAAATAAAAAAATAAATTCAGGACTCCCCTTCTCTTACAAGAGCTGAACTCTTAAGAAAGGAGTTTGTCTTCTGTTACAATTTACTAGCAGAGATAGAGAGCGCAGGCACATCAAATGGGCAAAGACACTTAGGTGCCATCGTTTTAAGTCACTGTCCTTCTGGATTATTCAGACTTCAATCATATACACCTATACAAAGTGATTTGGTTTTGTTCCTGCTTTTCCACTTACTAGAAGGCAGAACTGAGCTACTAGCCAAGCCTTACCAGGGCTGCTAAAGATGACACAAATAAAACACAGAAGCATATATCCCAGCTGTTATCCCTCTGCCTTAAAATCACGCAAAGAACCCATGGCAGAGGCATGGCTCTCCGGTGCAAGATACCCACCGCCCGTGGGTAAGGCCCGAGGGCAAGTAGGACATGCACGTCTGTGGGTAAACCCAGAGGCCAAGAGACCATACAGCTGTGCTCCCTCTCATCTGAGCAGCTCCGACCCCCCTTGCCCTACCGCCTGCGGGTGCAGTGTCACCGTTTCTTCTGTCCTACGGTGCTGTCGCAGCATTTAGCGACAGGTAAATCATTGTACAGCTGGGTTTAAAACAGAAAACCCTCCAAAGCTGAGGCTGAAATTCTGCCCTCCACAGCCTCCCTCCTACCCATATATATTTTTCAGTGGAGCAGTAGACAAACCCTTGTTCAGCCTCTTTCTGCTTCCACATACGTTGCCTGAGAAGCCCTGGCTGGCCTGCAATCCTCTCCTGTTGGAAGAAACGTCTTGCAACATGCTGTCCTCACACTGTGACAGCAGAGA